AAATTCCAAATCACACTTCATTCGGGACAAGTTCAGTTATGTAACAATAATAATATGTTCAGTATTTATTCAGTTTCAGTTGATATAATACTATTAACAAATGTAATGCTAGAGTAAGTTCAAAAAATAAAGGGTGTTTTGTTTCGGACAAAAATGTCTAGGTGGGATATAGAAATCAAAATCAATAGTTAAGATAAAAATAAATAAATATATAAATAAAGTGCGGGCGGTTTCTTGCGGGTGCGGGTTAAACCCGCAACCCGCAAAGATGCCATATTTCAAACCACATCTGCCCGTATTGTATTTGCGAAACCACCCATTTGTATGTGGATTGGGCGGGTTGGGCAGTTTTTGCGGATCGGATAAACCGTTGCCCACCCCTAATTAATATATAGATTCATATTTATCTTTTATAAATATTTAAGATAATTACATTTTGATCCAATTTTTTAATATAATTATATAAATAAATTAATTCCTAATTAAATTAGACTCTATCGTATACGAACAAAAAATTAATTATTTATTTTACTACCACACCCATTTTATTATTATTTATTTATACTTTGACCCCTAAATTCATAATAATTATATTATTTTACAAAATTACTATTATTATTATTATTATTATTTATACTTTGACCCCTAAATTCATAATAATTATATTATTTTACAAAATTACACATAATAATACAAAATAAACCATATATTTTTTCAACTATAATTAAATAATATTAGTATAAATTTTACAGAATAATTAAAAATCTGGGTTGTTACAATGTTCCATCCTTTTAAAATTTCGTCCTGAAATTTGTCATGTGTGTAACCTATCCGCTGCGCACTCTGATAAATATATATTAGATGATTAATCTAATAGAAAATATTACCTCAAAAAAAAAAAGAACTTTACCAAAAACCACTCACTGTCTATTGGTCAAAAATTGTTTTGAGCCATAATGAGAAACAATCGGTGACTTTACAAACTTTTCATTGGTTTTATTTCCGAAGAAAAAAAAAATAAAAAAATAAAATGAGAACACAATCAAACAAGCGACTGGAAATGAATGACAGAATTACATGCAAGGGTTGAAGGAATTTGAGAGGTGCTTCCATTTCTTTTATCCGTAAACTTTCCACGGATGAAAAAATAGTTTCAAAATTAGTATCTTTATAATTTGAACCCACTTTTAAAAAGTCGAAATAATTTTTTTTTTGAATACTGAACTGAAAATTATATGTATTTAATTATATTATAATTTTGGTAGGTGCTTGAGTCCGACATCCTTTGTTTCTTTTTATTCTTTTGCTATAACAAATATAAATTATATCTATTATCCTTCACAAATTATGCATACGAAATTTTTTGTTAAATATATATATATATATATATATAAAATCATATAAAATTATAATATAATTAAATCGACTAACAAAATATAATATTTAGGGACTAATTACCCGTTATCCCACTTCTTAAATGTGTGTGTTCTATGCTCCAATGATGATTTATTTATTTTTTTTATAAACTATTGCTCTGATACCATTTGTCACGACCCGCTCCCCGTACCCAAGAGTTAAGCATCGTGATGACCAGTAACTGAGGTTATCTCCGGTCAATTCTTAAATAAATCAATAAACGCGAGCGGAAGTAATATTTAAATAAGAGTACCAAAATAATTATTGGAGCTTCTATTTTTATTACAAAATTATATTGACCAAAAAGGCCGATATTTATATAGAAAAATATCAATAAAAGTGTTGTGTGTGTCTATTCCACAGTTTCGCATCTAAGACTTCCAAAAGTTATTTCTGAATTGCATGTTTCCTGAAAATTGGTAAACAGCTATAAGCGCATGACAGAGTGAGAAATATTATTCCAAGAGTATATGGGACATGAAATAACCATGAATAATTAGTTAGGCCAAAACATTTGCATAACTCAGTTTGGTGAATAAACCATTTAAGTGGTAGAAACTAAAATACATAAATTATGTAAATAAATAACCATAACCACGGTACCGAACAGAACAGAACAGAACAGAGGTCACATGAGTGACAGTCAGAACAGAGGTACGGATTTAAGTGGTGCCTCGTACGGATTATAGAGGTGGCTCCCACAATAGTATAGCACTTATCTTCGCACAGCACTTTACTCCGCACAGAACAGAGGTCAATGGATCCATGACAAACAGAGGATCACAAAGTGGTTAAACAGAAGTTAATGGTTATTTAAATCCCCAAGGCGTGGAACTCCCGTGGTGGTACTTACAAAACATAATTGTATATGAGGTTATAGTCAAATATTCTTTAAAATATAAATAAACATATCCATGGGTTTCATTTTAATCAAATAGGATTTAGAAAATAATTCACGTAACTGAAATATTTATAATAATTTATAAAACATAACTTGTATAAAACAAATATGGTAACTCAAAATATTCGTAAAATATATTATGATAACTCAAAATATAATATAACTTACGTTAATTTTAATACTAAAGACCCTTTCACAATTCACTATTTTTTCCTTTTTTTTCCCTCTTTTCTTTCTCTTTCCTTTCTCTCTTTTTATTTTTCGTTTCTTTTCTTTTCCCCAGATCACCTCTCGCTATAAAGCCTCTCGCTATAAAGAGAGGTGAACGCATCATCCGGTTAACACGTGGCCCGCGTATCCCCTATCTAGATTCGGCCATTAATGTATAGATTCATATTTATCTGTTATAAATATTTAAGACAATGCTCTAAAGATTCTCTAAATATAACTAGTCATGAAAAACTTTTTGTTAAAAAGCTTAGTCATGAAAAGTTTTGTTAAAATAATTATTATTATTATTATTATTATTATTTATTTATTTATACTTTGACCACTAAATTCATAATAATTATATTATTTTACAAAATTACACATAATAAAACAAAATAAATCATATATTTTTCTAATTATAATTAAATAATATTAGTATAAATTTTACAGAATAATTAAAAATCTGAATTGTTACAGAAGTAGGTTTAATTTTTGAAAAAAATATCAAATAAGTGGTATTTTAAAAAAATAATTACAAATAAAAAATAAAAATTTTAAATATTAATAATTAAAAATTTTAATTTTTGTATTAATATATATATATATATTAAATTCCACTGAGGTGTAATGGACCATAATTTTTATTTATTATTATTTTGTTTTCGTTCCTACTTTCGTCACAACAGAATGAGTGCCTTCATATCAAAAGGAAGCAAAAAAAATGTCGTGCTACAATCTCAACATTTGGATATGGGATTACTGCTATGTCTTATGAACAATAGTCCAACTGTGAGCTTTCATGGCAGATTGTTTTGAACTTATTTGATAATTTGAATTATTCGTATTATAAGGTTTATTGAATATATCATTTATGTTTAAAATTCAGGTTAATTGGATATCTATAATCCTATGATCGGATTCTAATTATTTTTAAAAATATTATCAAAATCATGTTACTTGTTTAATTTTATTATTTCTTTAAATGTGGTCTTGTTATGGTGTTACAGATGTTCGATTAACTTAATTTTTCTATTAATGATCTATTCGACGAACCTTTCAATATAAACGGTTCAAATTATCAAAATAAGCTTCGGACAAGCCCCCACAGACAGTGACGAAATTAGGAAACTAAATCAGAAGGGGCACTTATTAATTATAATTTCATTTTTTTTTCCATAAGCAACAATAAGAAGATAATAATAATTTTTGAATTAATATTAAGTAAAAAAATTTAAATAAATTATTACAAAAGTATTTTACATAAAATTTTACAATTAATTTCGAATAAAATCGAAAAGAAAATATTACATGTAACTAGTGTATCATAGATAATGTAAAAAAGTCATATATAATATTTAAGTCCTAAAATAAATTATATAATGGTAAGATAAATTAAATTTTTACAAAATTTGACTAAAAATTTCATATAATAGTAATATTACATCATCATTGACATATGATATTACCAACCAATAATAAAGCAACATATGAAAGATGAATTTCACATGCAAATATAACTAATACTCTAGCAACTTTTTGATAGATATTACTTTTATATTGAGATTTTTTCACAAAATTTTCATACATAAAAATATATGTTGTAGTCTCTTCATTTTTTATAAAACAATCATTATTATTCTCATAAATTTAAAAATGACATTGACATATTATTCTAAATATTATTTTTTTTTTAAAAAAATTTATTTATATACCTATGTAAAAAAAATAAAATGTAAATCCAAAACTCGGGGGATGTGACCCCCAGTCTCCATGTGGCTTTACCACTACCCACAGGCCTCAGAGCAGTTACTATTGTGTCATACTCATAGCACCCCTGAATCCTCAAAATTTTACCCATAATTAAAATATGTAAATAAATTTATTTCAAACACGACTCACAACACACCAAATTTAAATCTGCACTTTACATTTCACTTTCATGATAAAATGTCAATTAAATTTTCATAGTAACTAGAATTATTGAGAAAATTTATTGAGAAATCCATTAATTTTTAGAGAGGTGTGATATTAGGTCCAAGAATTATTTTATTTTTGGTTGTAAGGATATAATTAATGAAATTATTTGATAAGAAAAATTTATTTTGAATAATAATATTTTTCATTTTTAGCCACTATCGCCAGACTATCGATTGTCACTCACTGAAAAAGTTGCCAAAAGTGGCATCTAGCATTGGTTGGTGGTGGTGATATAAACAACCAAGTAGATTATGCGGATAAACAAGTGACAGTGACACTAAGCACTTAGGTGGAGATAAAGATAGACAAATAAATTGGCATAAGTTTCAGTGACTTACGGCTTTGGCAAAAATGGAATTCACAACTATAATGCTATTTCAAGCAACAATTACAGAGCAAATACAGATCCATCTATAATGCCATCATTTCAAGCAACAATTTCAGAGCAAATACTTATTTAAGAATTATATCAGCATCTTCTACAAGAGACTAATTCAGTAGAAACATAACATAAAAGAAATTTGTAATTATACACATATGCCAGTGTCATTACTCCCAAATTGTATCCAGAATCATAAAATTTAAAAATAAAAAAGACAATAGTCAGTCACTGCAAGCCTAAACAGCACTACTAAATAGTGAGTGATAATCACTTCCATTTTCTGTACTTTCCCCCACGCTTTCCGAACCTTCCATGCTTCCCACGCTTAAACTTTCCTTGACGACCATAGAAACCTCCATGGGTAAGATTATGGGCACCCTGTGATAGCTGGTGGGCCCCATAAGCTGCAGCCGCAGCAGCAGCGCCACCAGCTATCAATGCTCCCAAACTAGGCCCAGAACCTGTACAAAGAAATTACAAGCTATCAACAATGGAAAACATAAAATACAACATTGTAGCAAGCAAAACAAACAGCACTCTAAATCTGTATACTTCAGGGTCAAGGATCACCAGGACCTTACAGAGATGTAATTTTAACAAGCAGATTATATTGACCAAAGTAGATGTACGAAAAGGTCAAGAAATGACACAAGTAATAGAGTTCAATAATGAGATATGAAGATTTAACAGTCTTCCAAACCCTAAAATTATCAAAAAAAGTATTTCATACAAACAATTATTTCTGGTTTTAATCAAAACCAGTATTTCATGCTTTGAGTTCAAAAACAACGCATAAACATGTGCAAACCAATTGAAAGTTCTAGGAGCAATTAAAATATTATTCAATAATTCCTTGAAGGTGTTAATGGCAATTCACCTTTACATCTCAGATGACTCCCAATCCTTGAAAGAATTTTGGAAAGAAATGAATCAAAGATACCTGGATAAGGCGGAGCTGATGGACCAGGATAAATTGCTGGTGGATATCCACCTGGGGGAGGATATGCTGACGGACCAGGATAACCTGCCGGTGGGTACCCACCTTGGAAAGGATATCCAGCTGGTGGGTATCCACCAGTAGGAGGATATCCAGCTGACGGGTAGACCTGAGGGGGATATCCTCGAGGCGGATATCCTTGAGGAGGATATGCCCCATAAGACGGAAGGTATTGTCCAACAGCATAGCCAGCAAGACGAGATAAAAGTCCTCTGTCACTAGATCCATCATCATTGTAATTTCCACCTCTCATTTTTCTCACTCTCGAAATTTATGAACTGAAAATGTAAATAGAGAACAGTAGAACATATAAGACCTTTTTCAAGGGGGAAAAAAAAAAAGGTGTGCCAATTGTTCCTTAGAATATCATACGTACTTAATGCAGGAGTTTGGCATGGAGATTTTATATATTTCATTGCCTTTAATATTTATATTTTTTATTTTTAATTATAGTTGTATTTATATTTATTAACGACTAAGTTTCAAATAGTGTTAAGAATTAGTTTCCTAAGTTGATTAGGGCTTTGCATCATAACATTCAGCTTTGAATTAAGAATATTGAGTGAGGTTGTGATTAGAGTTGTGGCCCTTGTGTACTTCCTCTCTCCCTTCTTCTCTATCCTCTTTCCCGACAGTGTTCTACATCACTACAACTTCCTCATCTCAACCCATAATGACTTGATGCTTTTGTTCTCCATGAATGCATTTTTCCAATATAAAAAATCACATTTCAGCAACTTATTGTTCATCCAGAAAAAATGATATTATCAAATAGAAACATAAGGAAAAGAAAAATGGGCAGAGATTTAGCAAAGAAGACACATCATATGTCTTGATTATGCAAAGTATATGAATTGTTTCCTGGTTTGACTTTTGTGGCAGAGTCAGACGGGATTGCGAAACAATCTATACACATAAATGGAGAACGATATTCTTCTCGGTGAATAAAATTATCAACTCCTAACAAATTTTTGGTTACAAAATACCCAGCAAAGAAGTTTGCCTATGCATGTATTCTAAGAAAGTTCATCACATTGATGTTTGAATATATTCTATCAAATCAACCAAAAGCGGATCCAAATTAGACATCAAAGATAATTCTAATATATTATAAGTGAAGTTCACAGAAACAAGTGAAGCAAACTGAAGAACTGTTCCTTAAGGCTGCGTTTGATTAGAGGATTTGATGAGAGAAATGGAAAGACAAAGGGAAATAGAAAGGAAACGACAAAGAATTGATATGATTCGAATTCCAAGCTATGTTCGGTTGAGTTGGGAAATGGAGAAAGAAAAAAAAAAAGAAAAGCCTAAGGTGAACCTAAAAGAAAAAAAGTGAGATTATATTTTCCCCTCACTTTATTTTTCCTTGAGTTTTACATTATAACCAAATAAATAGTGGGATTGCATTTCCTATTCCCTTTCCATTTCTCTCATCAAATCATCCAACCAAACACATTTACTATTGTAAATACTATTGAGGGTTGTTTAAAAAAAAATGGTTAAAAGTTAGTTTTTTTTTACTCTTTTTTATTTTTTTTTATAAAAAATGTGTAAAAAATATAAGAGATGATATAATTTAAAATAAATTAAAAGTTAAAAGATAATTTTTAACCATCTTTTTAAAATAGTCCTAAATTAATCAAATCATGTGTACATATATTTTTGTGTGTTGATAAATCTAATGGGCTATTTGATACTCCGTTTGGCAAGAGCTGAACGAGGCTTTTTTGGCTATTTTAGTCATAAAAGACAAAATAGGCTATTTTAGCCACAAAAAATAAAACATCACATCCAACCCATAATCATTACATTCTTCTCTCACAAAAAAATTCAAAAAAGTCAAAAAGTCAAAAAGCCCTTCCCAAAACAAGCTTTTAAGCCCAGGCTAAAATAGTCAAAAAAGTCAAAAAATCAAAAAGCCAACCCACTTTCCAAACGAAGGCTATATAAATTATGCCAAACTAGACTTTAATATATGTAAAATATAATGATTACATATATTTGAAATCAATCATGAAAAAAACATCGCAAATAAATAATTTATAAAAATAAAAAGAACACATGAATTTGTACTCACTTCTGATCTCTAACATTGGTAGGTTGTGGGTTGGGCATGTTGACAGTCTATCGTCTCTGTTGCCTGAAGCAGCCTTTTGTAGGCGTTCTGGTGTGTGACGTGGGCGGTTGGTTCTGCCAATAGTATTCCACCTACCACTTTTTCAAATTTTTATATGTAATGAAAAACGAAAATGCATTATACTCACACTGGCCCCAGTGAGGTGTCGGCCCGTGATTGGGGCTAAAAAAATTTTTTTTTTTTTTTGGACTGTCAGCCAGTGGGGGTGCGAGGTATAAGGCACTGCTCATCATTAGAAGCCAAATTAAATGTAATATCACTTTATTTAATTAGTCTATTTCTTTTTTTTCATTAATGATCTACTCGATCAACCTATTATTAATGATTTACTCAATCAACTTAACAATATAAACGGTTTGAACTATTGAAATAAACTTGAAACAAACTCTTATGAACCTCACAACAGTTACTATTATGTAATACTTACAGTAACACCTCAATTCCTCAAAATTTGTTCATAATTAAAATATGTAAATAAATTTATTCTGAATACGACCCACAACGTATCAATTTTAAATTTACACTTTACATTTCACTTTCGTGGTAAAATTTTGATTAAGTTTTTATAGTAACTAGAATTATTGGGAAAATTTGTTGAGAAATCCATTAAATTGTAGGGAGGTGTATGACATTAGGTCCAAGGATTGTTTTGTTTTAGGAGTTATTTAGCATCTTTGATATTAATACATTTTTTAAAAATCTTTTTTGAGTTATATCATCTCTTTATTTTTCAGCACATCTTTTCTTAAAAAGTATACTTATTTAAATCATCCTAAATAACCCCTTAATTATAAAGAGATGATTAATAAAATTATTCAGTGAGAAAGACAAATTTGTTTTGAAAAATAATATTTTCCAATTTTATCCACTGTTATCAGGCCGTCAGTCATCCGTCACTGGAAAAGTTTCCAGAAGTGGCTAGTGGTGGCATTTGGCTTTGGCCGGTGGTAGTAGTGATATGAACAAATAAATAGATTAGTTAGACAAATAAGTAAAACTAGACAGATAAATAAAATAGTAAATAAATAAATTAAAATAATACAGTTTTTCAAATTGTTGTTGTCCTTCAGATCTCAAAGATTTGAAATTGAATTTATGGCTGGACTGCCTGAATCATTGATACGAATATTATTCAATGCACAAATAATAATATAAATATATTTGTGATATGACAGCGTTAATTACCCCCACAAAAATCAATAGATAGGAGATTAATTACATTATAAAAAATATGATAGATGGATGATACTATGTTTTTGTTGCTTTTTTCTGGAAACTGATTGGAAAGACCATTATTGTTATTCATAATCATTGTATGAAACTTCTCTTCAGCAACTCGGTTGCCTGCTTCCTACTAGTGTTTGGGTGAGGATCTAGGAAAAGGACAATTAGTTGACGATATTAAAAATAAAAAACAAAAACAAACAAACACATGTACCAATAGAAAGATTTAAATTGTATTGGATCAAATCAAATAGAATAGGGAATTGTTTAATCCAACACAAGTATAAATTAGATTTATATTTGACGTAACTGAATTTTTGTTTTTAATTATTATTGAGAAAAATCTAAATTTTTTAGTAGTGACAAAAGAAATATTATTTATTTTCAATTATAGGATCGAATTTTAACATGTCTTTGAGTCAGGTTTGGATCCAAGCTAGACCGTAGGAATCAAATATAGAAGAAATGAAAATTCTATCATGTTTTTAATGTAGCTCAAGCTTTAGGCTTGGGTTGGGTTGCCCGTCTGTTCATGCTGCGATCTCATCAAAAATTATGAAAAAAGAATAACACAAAAAGTGAAAATGAACTTTAAAAAAAGGGGACAAATTATCAAGAAGTCTTCTTTGAAATACATGTAACCTATTTAGTCCTATAAGCTATTGTTTTTACTCAAAAGTCTTATAACGTTTTTCTTCTTCTTCTTCTTTGCTTTTTTTACTCTGTGTGATTTCCAGCGATTGTCGACGGGCAATCACATCTTACTTCTTCTTGGGGTGGGCAACGGTTTATCCGAACCGCTCAAACCGTCCAACCCGCCCAACCTGCATATAAATGGGCGGTTTCGCAAACATAATGTGGGCGAATGCGGTTTGAAATATGACAAATTTGCGGGTTACGGACGGGTCGCGGGTTAAACCCGCAATCCGCAAAAACCGCCCGTACTTTAATTATTATTATTATTATTTTTTATATACCAACTTTGTAACTTTATCAGGAGCACCATTATGTTCTCTATGACACTATGATCCTTATTTTTAAGTATTTCTCAACTTTCTTAATGTCGTAGAATTATCAAGTCCTAAACTTGGTTTATTATATGATTTTCATTGATGACTCATCCACTTTTTCCTAATAAAATTTTCCTTCTGGTGGTCGATGAAGCTTCTAGTTTGATTATTGATTACTGAACTGGCAATTCTAATTGAGTACAACCTTTAATGCATTGATATACATTTTTTCATGGCAAAAATGCTAGTGTAGGGTCTCTTTGTTTTGGGTACTTTCATTTAATGCATTGATATTCAATTTTTATTTGTAAACTCATTAGAAAATTGTTGTCAAATGATCACAAATATATAAAATGAACCTAATGCCTAAATTCGATGGGAAAAAAAACCTTAAAAATTAATTTTTAAAGAAAAAAGTGTAAACCGCAAACCGCCCGGACATCTACAAACCCTATCCGCACAAACCGCAAACTGCACTACGGGCAGTTGCGGGTTGACTTTTGCCCAAACCGCATAGATGCAGGCGGGTCAAAACCGAACCGCAAACCGCACAAAACTGATCCGCGAACACCCCTACTTCTTCTCTTTCTCTTTCTAATATATAGTCATCGGCGACTGACGACTACCATCGATTAGGGTTCATCGGCAACCACCGACCGTCTACTCCTTACTTCACCCTCACTGACAGTGAAGAAGATATGTTTCTAACGAAGAAGATAAATATATTTATTTAGATTTGATGTAGATCTACATCAGATCTGACTAGATTTAAACAAAAATAGTTGCTAGAGTACAATCATCTCTCTATATCTGCCTCTCTCCTTCGATCTCTTAATTTTTCTACATTTTCTCTACTATACACTTCTCTTTTCTGTTTTAATAGAGCAAATTTTTAAATTCTGAACAAGTTGTTTTCGAGTTTTAGTTATAGGCGGTGAAAA